TCGACCCCAGTCACGTATACAGCTCGAGGGGTGATGTGGATGATATTTCACCATCAGCCCCTCCCCATTCACTCTATCAAATACAATACAACACAAGTCTTTGATAGGAAATTAACCTGGAACCCTCACCTGCAGCATACTATAGCAAAAAGTAAAATATCTCTAATGACCACAAGAAGAACCCTAGGCAAATCTTGGGGATTAACACCGAAAATGGCCTATTGGCTATACACGGCAGTAATAAGACCCTGAATAACCTATGGATCACTAATCTGGTGGAACAAAGCTCAACAAAAAGTAGCTACTCAAACATTAGGCAAGGGAATAGAACAACCCCTATAAATGCATTAGAAACTCTGCTAAACCTACCTCCAATGGAAAGATTTATACAAGGAGGGGCTAGAAAAAGCTCACTTAGGCTCCAGAAATAATAAAATTGGATAGGAACTAAACAATTCGGGAATACAACCATAATCAACAAAATCAGACACCCATTATGAGAAATGGGGACTGACTACATGATCGTGAAAACATTCTTTACAACTTCCTATAAAGTCTCAACGGACTATAAAGGAGAGGAAGAACACTGGAGAGCATCAGATACAATGACGTGGTATACAGATGGCTCCAAAACAAACGAAGGAACCGGATCGGGAGTTTTCTGTACAAGCCCAAAACATGAGCAATCAAACTCATTAGGGAAGTACACTTCGGTCTTTCAAGCAGAAATATATGCCATCTCAAAAGAGGTTACACTGGCAAAAAAATCCTCATAAGATCTGATAGCCAAGCAGGCATTAAAGCATTAGCATGTAAAAGAATCACATCAAAATTAGTCAGTGAATGCATCCAAAATCTCCAAAACCTGGGGAAACACAACAACATGATGATACCTTGGGTGCCAGGGCACAGGGGAATTTTGGGTAATGATAAAGCAGACAGTCTGGCCAGAGGAGGATCTGCAAAACCATACTTAGGCCCTGAACCTATACTTGGGATAACAAAAACAAATATAAAATCCTCCATCGCAGAATGGATCCAAACAAAACAAAAGGAGAAGTGGATATACTCTAGCGGCGCTAGACATAGTAAACTTATGATGAAACAACCCTCACCAAGACTAGCCGGTCACTGGCATAGGAGAAAACATCTACACAACATGGGCATATACAACGATGATCCCATTTGCAGATTATGTAATGAGGAGGAGGATTCGGCTACTCGTATCAACTTCAAATGCAAAGCCACAGCTCAATGGAGCTTTAACTAACGTACGGAAAAACCTTAGGAAATCAAATTGCAGCAGCAACAGTCAATGACCTGATACTTCTAAAGAGAAAGATTGAGTCTATTGCACTGAACGAAGGAACTAGGAAGGTACAATAAGCCAAAAGGCTGCAGTGCGTGGGGAGTCCTAGTATCCTTTTTTATCATACCATAACATCCACCATCAGCCCCTCCTCATTCACTGTAATAAATTCGCCCACTCATATAAAACGCAGAAACACAAAACTCATATTTTGACGGCCAGCGCAATAAAAAATTCCCAATTCCCCTAAAAAGCGGAACATGCGACCCTGTGACTCGCTACCATGTCCAAGAACCATTCTTAAATCCGGCGGTATACCTACACGCTCTCTGTCTGGAGCGTTTTTACATATTACTTGTTAAATATTTGTTAGTTAGTCTGTTTATCTGTATTCATTTTTCTGTTTATTTATTTACATAAATAGACTGATAGGTTAATTTATCAAGTTAATATGTATTTATATTTATATTATTTATTTTTACATGTGTTTTATTGTTATACCTGTTCCCACAATTGGTGGATACCTAAAGTAAAATTTTTAAAAAATCGTTATTGATTAAACATTCATCAAATATGTCTCACACACTGCAGTACAACATTATTTTCTATTCTGAGCAATTTTTTTTCCAGCTTTCACTTTATCTATACATCTTTCATGTAGAATTATTTGCTATCATTTTAGAAAATTAAGCTTGTATCATTCGTAAGTATATTATAATGTACTTATTGTTTTATATTTACATCTGTAAAATGAGTTAAATCTTTGAAAAAATAGTATGATTTAAATTTTATCATTTTTATTTGATTTTAGTTATATATATATTTTTATTACTTATTATAACTGAAATAAAATAAAAACTATTTTGTAAAATCTAATTTGTATTAATACACTCAAAACCAAAGGATTTTAGCATAGTTTCATAATTTATCATAGCAAGAAGCTCCCACAACTTTTTGTCAAAATATTCTTTGTACAATTGTATCAATTAATTAAGTAATAATTTTTTTAAACTTTTCCATGTAGTTTTTTATATTTTTTGTTTGTTTTATTTTTACTTAACTGTTTTAGACGTTACGCAATTAACATTCATCATCAGCATCTCATTTTTTTCGTTTTTATTATAGACAATGCCTTTAAAAAACCCATGTTAGATAATAAAAATGTTAATACAAATTGTATTATTTATACCTGAAAACACATTTTTTTAGAATAGATTAGAAGAAATTTATATTTGATGAGCATTTGTTACATTTAATTGCAAAAATAAATATTTAGTAACTAAATACTCAAATAAATTTTATGCCAACAAATTAAATTGCACCCAATAAGCAATACCTGTGATTGGTTGCAGGAATTTCGTTAATCATACATTTTTACAAACGTGTGTGGTGATTAGTGACCGTTAATCGATAATTATTCAGAAATCGTGAGATGCGGTCTGGTGTGACGTAGGTTTCAGAAAAACATTTTCTTTATCGTGCCAACGTTTCGATCTTTATTGAGATCATCTTCAGGGCCTGGGATTTACAAACATTGTTTACATTTAACAAATACATTTAGGATGTGGAAAAGTGAATTTATACAATGCAAAATATATTTTTTATATTCAATCAAAATATTTCTACTCACTCAAAGTGTTTGTCTTCTGTGTAATTGTGCCATTAGGCGAAATAGGGATGTGGAAAACACGAGTAATTCAATATTAGTTTTAATCGCTTGTTTGGTACAAAATTTATGATTTTTTGATGATTTTTATATCGTCTGTGGAATTCCCTTTTACAGCATGTTAGGTCGGTCCACCCCTTAGGCCTTTCAGGCGTGAAGCTTTCTACCTTTTAAAATCCTCGATTTGATCATGCTAGCATGATCTTGTTGCTAGTCTTTCTTTCTTCTGTCTTTTATACTTTTCCTTTATATTTATTTCTCTCCCTTCTCTAATTCAGGGGAGTTCTCTTAAGGGATTTTTACAACATTTAAGAATGTTCTCTTACATCTAACCAATTTTTTTGACCGAGTAATAACAACTTTGTGTCTCTTGGTTTGGATGATTGTTTATTTTGCCCCGACAAAGATGTAAATGTGTTTACTTTTATTGTTTGTTGCGTCAACGTTCGAAGCCTTCGGAATAAGACTCATACATCGGAACATATACCGGAGGGCCAGTGCCCATAACGTTATGAGAAAACATAACCATCGGGAACAATTAACATTGTTATAGTATGCTTGCTATTGACTTGCTATTCGCAATCCGTTTTCCCACATTCATGAATCATATCGATCCATGACCCGACTATTGAATGGGACTATTGCCCCGACTAGTAGAAATATGTAAAGATGTAAAGACCCCTTCAAAAAAAATTTGCATGATACTCATAACTCTAAATTCCTCATAAATTTCTATCGATTCAAATCGAGGAATTTTCTTCAAAAATATTTTAAGAAAACAATTTTACAAAACGTTGAGGTCGGAGAGCACGTTTAGTTAAACTACACCTTGAAATTATAACATAGGACAAGATAGACAGCCAGAGCAAAATAAAATCTTTAAGTGATAATGAATATTTTAAAATTATACAATAGTTTACTCCATATTCCAATAAAGGATTGTATATATTCTTCAAATTTTAGTTTTGGGTATAAAACAACATACAGGTATTAACTGAATAAGATGGAGTAGAGGTCGTACACAGACATGGCAAGATCGACCTGCTCAAGCAAAGAAAATCCATTCAAGGAAGCCCAACACAATCATTCACTCTTCTCTCATTTGCAAATAAAACAATTTTTATTTTATTTATTTTGCCCAGTCTAATTTGAATAAAATTGTTTGTCAATTTCTCATGATCACCATCATTGATCTCCTGGTATTAACTGATTTCTCAAACTTTGCCAAATTAATCTGACAGGAAAAGATGAAATGATCATATTATACATTATCATATTTTATAGTTTAATTTTCATTTTTAGTTTAAAATGTAATATGTGTGCTTCATATTTAGTCACGATAATTTACCATATTAATTATTTCAATTAATTTTTTTAATCTAAGGTCTTGGTTGAGAAGAAAAAGTTAGTGTCAAGAGTGTTTTGATCTCTACCAAGACCTTAGATAAAAATAATAATTAATTGAAAATTTTAGTCATAATTTTTAACATGAATATAAATATATAATCAATATAAAACCATTGAAACAAGTATTTTAACAAACATAATTGCAACAAAAAATTTTTGAAATAAATTTCATTTTCATCCTTGAATTTGTGCCCAGCATTGGCTATAAAGAGTGATAGTTAATTCTAAATTTATTACTGAAATATTTTATTATTTGAGAGGCAATAATTCAAAAATTTCAATTTTAATATCTTATTTTCTGAATGAATTTATAAAACATTCAAAAATTACATTTTGCCCTATGATGCAATAGCTTTGCAACAAAGAAAAAATATGTACAAATAAATAATTATAAAGTGGTTGCTAAAATAATTTAAAACAAAAGATGTAAATGTATATTTTGACATAAATGAGGAAGCAGTACGCACACAAATTTTAGGTAACAATTATAAAATCTACATTAAAATCTACGTCTCAAAATTTATAATTCTAATTAAAAGAGTATCACAATTAAAAAATACCTTTAGTTAGGAAATCTAGGCCTATTGTAAGAAAATAATAATAATTATATTAACTAATTAAAATAACAAAATATTTAAACCGAAATGTAGTTATTACTGCAAAAAAATTTAATATAATTAGTGTTGATTGATTGTTCTGCTAGTAAGAAAATTGAATTAAAAACAGTAAATCTTGGTTTATCATTTAATTTTTTTTAAGAGTTATTGTTTGATGTATATAATAAGAGTTTTTGTTTTCCAATACTTGCACATTTAGTAACAAATAAGAAACTATTAATCACTTTGAAGAATAATACTATAAAATTTTTGAAATATCACGATAGATACTATAACAATAGTATCAGAAATGTATCTTTTATTGGCAAAAAATTCTTCACTTTTTTCTAAAACAAGAAATAAAAAGTATATTAACAAGTTTCATATTGTCACTATTATTTAATCAACTTCTAGTTTCCTAAAACTCCCCGATATATCACCGATATTGTTGTTCTGGGCAGACTTTTTCTTCATAACACAGCTGTTGTCAAGAAGCTTCATCTTGTCACCATAAAGAATTTTCTGATGCTGCTTACCCAATTCAAGCTTCCAAGATTCTATTTAAAAACAATATACATAAATAAACAAATATAAATATTCTAGTTGAATTTAATAAATAATCTCACCGATCATGTCCGCCATTGGAATCACACCTCCGTACTCTTTTGGCAGGGCGCTTGGATCAATGTCAGCGTGCACTTCGCTTAGACTGTTGTGTATCTGAAAAATTAGATGGTAAGACCGTCTGCCTGACAATTTATTGTCAAATTACTATTAGATACCTTAAAACGGTCTTTTATCTTCTGGGTCACCCTTGATTTGGCAAAGTCGTAGACATACTTTAAGGCGGGGTGAACGTTCAGGAGATGAACTGATTTGTGCCTCATAGGGTATGAATGCTGAAATTACAATTACTCGAATTATTACGTTATTTTACTTTATGACATTAAATTCCTGGCTAATCTAATAATAAGAAAATGATTATTTATTTTTAATCAAGACATGTACTTAGTAGTCATAATTATACTTTGTATTTAAGGTCATGGTTGAGATGAAATAATAAAAATTTATTGTTAATTTGAGAATAGTAAAATTAAATTAATAAAGTAATTTTTGGTGCACGATTTTACAATGATTCATTCATTTTTCGCATGCAATATTTATTATTGAGGTTTTGTGAATATTCGGTTTATCAATTAATTAATCTTTATGTAAGGTATTGTTTGAAATGAAAAAGTTAATGTCACGAGTGGGATTCGAACCCACGACCTTCGGCTAAGTACGCTGCTGCTCTACCACTTGAGCTATCGTGACTTCGATCCACTCGGACACCAACTCCCCATCTCAACCTACCTTTCGAAATTTCTCTCCTTTTGGTAATTTTTCAAATGTCGTGTAATCAGGATTCGATTCTCGGCGACAAATAAAAATTCGAAAAGTAGGTTGAGATGGGAAGTTGGTATCCGCGTGGATCGAAGTCAGGATAGCTCAATTGGTAGAGCAGCGGCGTATTTAGTTCGAATCCCACTAGTGACAATAACTTTTTCATTTCAACCAATACATTACATAAGACAGAAAGAAGTTATTTGGTCAATCAGACCACGATCTATAATGGATTCGGTTTTTCCTTAAACCATTTAATACATTTTATTAATAGAAATATACATAATAATAATAATAAGAAGAAGAAGAAGAAAAATAACTTTAATCTGGGATTGGTGGCCCCTAAGAATAATACACATAAAATAAATGAAGGAAGTACCTTCTATGAAATTAAAAATAAAATGAAATAAAAATCTTGGCACAAGCTATACAAGTAAAGCAAGCCATAAGAAAAATAACAAGAATAAACAAAAATATCAAATATTAACGTAAGGACTCTGTTTGGAGGGAAAGGAGGCAGTTATACAGGTGGATTTAAAGGAGAAAAAGGAGGCTCGGATATGGGTTGTATGTTGCGGAAGGATAAGGTTAATTGGGTATGAGCGCGTGTTACGAGTGTGATGTGAGGAGTTGAATTGGAGGGATTGGGTGATGTAAGAAGGAAGACGAGTGTGGATGAACTGGAAAAGAAAGCAACCTAGGGATGAGCATCGATGGTCGATGTTTTGAAAACATCAAGATGGTAGACGACCAATGTTCGATGTTTTCAACATCGATCTTACTGAGTCGATGTTTTGTGACTATCGATGGTGGGCTGTCGATGTTTTGTAAACGTTTTCCGTTTTCCCTAATTTCTACGTTTGTGAATAGGGAATGACCCACATTCTTCTTATATGAAAGTGACCTATCAGAACCTGTCAGGAGTTGTTCAATTTGTTGCCTTAGTGGCACATCTGTTCCCTCTGAACGATAATTTTCCAAAGCAGGACAGATTATTTCAAAAACCAGAAATCGCTTAGAGGATAAATTGGCTTTAAAGATAAGTTTTTTTAATGATTATTCGGAGATCGTGAAATGCGGTCTGGTGTGACATAGATTTTAGAAAAACATTTTCTTTATCGTTTCGATCTTAATTGAGATCATCTTCAGGGCCTGGGATATATTTATGGCGGTGGATTTGGACGGATTGAGGACTAGGGAATTTTTATGTTCGTTGATGAAATTTAGGTCTTTTTTGGATTTTGAGACGGGCCGAGTGATGATCGGAAGGGTGAAAAGATATGTATATTTGGGAGTCATCGGAGGTGGTAGTCACAGGACTGGATCAAGTCAGGCAAGTCGTTAATATAAATGGAAAAAAGGATAGGAGAGATGCCAGAGCCTTGGGGCACCCCAGAGTTTAATGGGAGAAAGGAGGAAGTAAGGCCATTGGGAAGGGATATAATACAATCGTTAGTCATCATTAACTCGACTGCGGTGGACGAGATGTTAGGGTAACCGATTCGTCACTCTAGCAGTTCAGGGTTCAAATCCCAGTCCATGGTTTTTAAAGGATTACACTACGAAATGTGTTTTTAAAGTGGTTTCACCCCTCGTCCGCGCCACCCAACAGGTAGTTGGACAGCCCTCCGGTATGACAGGAATTACTTATTTCATTTTTATTATTAAATCCAATCAAACATAAAAGTTGTCGTTGACATTCTGAATGTATCAATTTTTGTGGTATTTCCTCTACTAAAAAATCCTTAACACCCAAATTGTAATAATGATTAAAAATGGCAAATAGTTTAATTCACTTAAAAGAAACTTCACTGACTGTGACACTACTGATTTTAAACCTGCCAACTTACCCGTATTCTAATTATAATTTTGATTTTGATTTCTTTAAAGGTTTATGTTCTATAAAATTTAAAAAAATAATAGAATATTGAAAACAAAATTAATAGTACAGTTTCATCAATTTACCTCTCCCCACTTAAACATGGTGGCGAATTCAGTGACATTCCAGAGTGTGACATGTGCAGTAGAAGCATTTTTAACGTCAACGAAGTGAGTAAAGCCCATTATTTGTGTTTCCTCATCTTCAAGCAGGGTCTCGAAGGTGAGAAGCATCACTTTCGCCATGTGTACGTTCGTATACTTGTGAGGGTCAAAGTTGTCTGAAAATGTGAGGACAAATTGATTTTAATTCTTCATTTTTCGCTCTGAAATTTATTAATTGTTAAGTTTTTAACCCTAATTAGTAATTAATTAATTCAACTAGTAACGTTTTGTAGTACAATATCTTAAATGGTAAGTTTAATTTAATATCTCAAACTTTGAACCTAATTAATTGTAATATATTAATTATAATATATTGAGCCCAACTAAACCACGTCAAAATAGGTAGTTTCTTACTTCAGTATACTACAAACAAAATTACTACTGTTAAGAAAATGAAGTCCTTTATTTGTCAAAAATATTTCGAATTACCTAAAATCCTAAATCATCTTCGAAATTTGTACAATTGTCTATCCAATATCGAATATTATGGATCTTTATGGAATAGTAGGGTCTCTTTGCAAAAAAAAATCTTCATAAGATCTGATAGCCAAGCAGCTATTAAAGCATTAGCATGTAAAAGAATCACATCAAAATTAGTCAGTGAATGCATCCAAAATATTCGAAACCTGCGGAAACACAACAACCTGATGATATTTGGGTGCCAGTGGTCAGAGGCATTTCGGGTAACGAGAAAGCAGACAGTACTGGCCAGAGGAGGTTCTGCAAGACCATACATAGGCCCGAACCTATACTTGAGGTAACAAAAACAAATATAGAATCCTCCATCGCAGAATGGATCCAAACAAAACAAACGAACTGGATAAACGCTAGCGGCGCTAGACACAGTTATGATGAAAGAACCCTTACTAAGACTGGCAAAATCACTGCTGCAATTGGAGAGGGTTAAACTCAGAGGAGTGGTAGGACTACTAACCGGTCACTAGCATCTGAGAAAATATCTACACAACATGGGCATATATAACCATGATCCCATCTGCAGATTATGTAATGACGAGGAGGAAATAGTCAGCCATATCATCTTGGAATGCGAAGCAACAGCCTAATAGAGCTTTAATCTAACATACGAAAAAGCTTAGGGAATCAAATTGTAGCAGCGACAGTCAATGACCTGATACTTCTAAGAAGAAGGATTGAGTCTATTGCACTGAACTAAGATAGTAGGAAAGTACAATAAGCCATAAGGCTGCAGTGCCTGGGAGCACAAACCCCGCTTCCTAGTACCCTTATTACCATACCATGGCCTTTTTGAAAAAAGCAAATTCAATTGTTACTGACTATTTGTGAGTAGAAAACTGGTCCATATATCGAATACTTAATCCAATTAACTGCCTATGACTTTAAATGGCGTTGAAGCTGTGCGGTGTTTTACCTTCAGCTTGATGGTCTTCAACTGACTCTGGTCGGTATTTTCCCGTCTTCAGGTGTTAGTCTGTCTCATTTGTGCAAATTTAGAGCAGCACACTACTGATAAAGTACAAAAAAGTGACAATATGCAAACCATTTTCAAAAACAATCAATCGACTTAAACTTGTTATTCATTTTTTTGGAAAAGGTAATCTAAGGCTAAAGTAATTCAATATATAATGAAGATAGTAGACAACAGAATAGCAAGAAGAAAATTGATTTTATGAAATATAATGCAGAAGATAACAAAAGGCTTTTTTCCTTCTGAGTCTTAAGTTTATTTGTATGTTTGGATCATTGTCAGTCATGATTTGTTGATAATAATTAAATGCTCATCTATGGTCTGATTTATATTTATGCAAATTATCTAGCTGTAATTTATTTACTACCACAAAAAATTAAATATCTGTAATGAAGGAAAGGATCAGGGTATTTTTTTAATTTACGCTCGATCAAACATTATGACATAATACGAGGGGCTCGTCCTGATAAAGTTTCAACAAATAAAGTTGTTTATTAGTAAAATTATCGCCTCGTTGTGCAACCGATATCATCCAATGTTATAGGGCAATACAGGAAAAAAAGGTCGACCATTGCGTCAGAACCATCGAAAAATCATTACGTTCTTGGGAAAGTTCATCTTGCAGATAAATACGAAGATTTTTTACAATTATTTTGCCTGATTGAAATTAATTTAGAAGAATACGTTTAATTTATTATAATCTTAGACCCAATGAAGTGTTAGTTATGGACTTAGTTATGAGCCCCGTACAGTCTCGAATTCATTGGATCTATATTTTATTGAGAAAAAACCTGTTTGATGTTTGAATCCAAACACGACTTTGAAAGAATACCGTACAAAAGGAGGACTTTAATAAGTACATAAATTCTTTGTTAAACTTTAAAGTATTTCACTATTCCAAAACAGATTATACAAAACAATAGAGAAGAACACGCATTTTCTCTTACATCTTTCTTTGAATACTCATCAAGCCATTATAAAGACGCGAGGTTCGTAATAATACATTTCGTCAACTTGTCAACGTATTGTATGTCAAAGACGCCACATAGCATTACTTGATGATCCGAGTCAAAAGCTAAACGTATAAATTTTGCAATAATAAAACCGAAAATTTCCATTTCTGTGAAACAAAAAGCATTTTCTCTCAAAAATTCAATATAAATTATATAAGTTGGTGGGTGAGTCCAAAGGCAGTTCTATTTCTAAAAATGTTAGCATCACACTTCAAGTCTACTTGAGTTTATTTTTGTTTCTTATCTATTTTACACATAAAAACGGGGTTTTGTTTTGTTTCCACTCGAAAAGAATGAACCATGACTTGAAATACAAAAGTTGGGTCTTGAACTGAAAGTTCTCATGATAGATTTTGTCCAAAAGTTAAATCGTGAAAAAGCTTTTTTTAGAAGTCTCGTCAAATTTTGATCCGTGACAAAACGTCAAATATGCAATAACTTATCAAAGATTTCAATATTTTTTCTCTAAATTGTAATCATATTAAACCTTTAAATGAATTACACACTCCTTCGTATATTGCACTTTGTAAATTTATAATACATTTTGTGGGAAAAAAGGCCTGTAATTCACACGAATTATTTATTGTCAACTTAAAAGCCAAAAAGAACTGGATTAACTACAATTCAAACTTTAAATGTAAAAGAGAAATTTAGATTAGTAAAAACAAATCAAAAAGTTATTAACTATTAAATTAAATATAATATTTTAACATCTGGATAAACACGCAAAATAATAACTTTTGTCTAAAATTTAAGTTAAACAATATTATGTATTAAATTCACTATTTTTTGTGGTCCGCTTGACCAATTATGTATTAACGTAATTATTTAATTAGTTTATTTGGTTAAACATATATTTTTTATAATAATCGACCAGTTTGATAGTAATAGGTAAAAAAGTGGTCTAATATCAATTTGTTAGATAATTTAGTTAAATCGATAAATAATTACGAAGATGGTCTCTTCCATGATTCATGTATCAATGTTTACGATTAATAATAAATTATAATATTTCGTTAATCCAGGTTTATAGTGATGGAGAGCATCAAAAATCCAAAATCTTGGATTTTTTAATATCCAACGTTATAATACTTTATACAAAGGAACAAACTTTTATTATATTTAATTATATATTAGCCTATTTGCAATGATTAAACAGTTCTTACTTGCGATTCCAATGGTCACTCTCCTTCCATGTTGATCTCTCACCGGTGAAACGAAGTAAAACCTAAAAACACAGGAAAATGATATATAATGATAAATATAAAACAGACAAACAAAAACACTCACCCTTTGTTAATCAATTCCAAAATTGGAGGATCGAGGTAATCCAGGTTGCCGCAGAGGTGGGCGTACATCTGCTTCATGTTCAAAAACTTAAGCAGCATGTCCTGCGCCATTGGCAAGCTGAACTTCTTCACACGAAGGAATCTCAGAAGGAAATTGTCGTCTATAAGGAGAAAAAGGACAAAACATATTTCAAACATATTTCAAACATATTTCATTGTTATTATTTAAAATGATTGATATAATATGAGCAATCAACCGTGATGGGATTACCAGTACATAAATGATTGTTATAACAATTATATAATAACCTTCGATTGTGGTAATGTAATCTTATTGTGATATTAATCAAAAATAAAACCAAATATATGGAAGCAGTTGGTGGCAATTACCAAGGCTTTGAATGTCTTGGGGGAAAAAACTATGCTCTTACATAATTTCTAAAGTCGTCGCAATAGCTTTGGATGTGCAGCTTTTTGATTTTTTGTTTTGCGGCTTAGGAACTTATTGTAAAAACAATTACCTCTGTATCCGTAACAACGCTTTAAACCCTTTTTAATTATTCTATTGCTACTAACATTAGCCAAGATGGTTGTGCAACGAATATAGAACAGCATGTACATATGTCGAGTACGGTTGGATATTACGATAAAACATCCTATTCTAATTCTAAATGTTCTGTTTCCACTACGAGAGCGTATTGTTCAGAAATATTTTCTCGAGAAATGCCTGCAGATAAATACAACTTGCCAATTAATCATTACAAGTAAAGGTAAAAGTTTAATCAATTTCATTTGCATGAAAACAAATGTATAATACATATATAATATAATCTTGTCTTTGTAAGTCTGTTGTTTGTTAGTTTTCAATCTTTTTTTTTTCAATCAAAAGTTCGGCTATGTTAACCAAAACAAAACTCTCATTGTTTGAGCAGTGAGAAGTGATAGGTAAAAAGGTTCATTTTCTAATATCTCACATTTTCATACTTTTATATTTGTGTAAGCAGGTAACATTTGATGAACTTAAACTCGTAAAATCGGAGCACAGTGGATCTTCTCAGGTCGAGGCGGGTGCAGAAGGCCTTGACGCCGCCTCTTTTATCCATATCCCTTTTATCCATAAAAATCGTAGACTACACAACAAGGATTCAAAAATATATTTTTTTTATATACTATTTAAAAAGCAAGACAATACAATTTTCAAACATTCAAATCCTTTTTGACGTATCCAGAAAGTAAGCGGACGAATAACTATGACTATAATAACTACAATCAGTTTGTTCTGCATGAATATGTAGTTTAACTATAAAATCTGTATATAGGTTTATACAAATTTTATGAATCCTTCAGTCAACTGATAGTGATTTCGTTTATTTTCAGGGAACTTATTTTAGTCATTTTTGATAGGAAAATTCTTCAATATTCTATATGCAAACTACTACTAATTTTTTTTTTTGTATTGAAATACAAACAAAAACTACTGACAATTTAGTTAAATAACAGGGAAATATAGGTAACAAGGTCCGCTGTTTCCTATATCCAACTTTTAATATTTATTGTCACATATTTTTCGTTTATTTGTCCTGAATGTTTGGAAACACAGGAAACTAGAATATTCAGTACAACAGGAAAGCATGAATTTACAAAGTAATAATACATGCTTTTATAATGTTAATCCCAGTACAATAACTAAGTTTACTTTCATATCTTTACAGCAAAAGTTTTCAATTTAAAAATCTTTTGATACCTTGTTTTATTCGTTAAATTCTTTATGAACAATGAGAACATTAAAATAGTGATAGTATTTATTTGGAGATCGTGAAATGCGGTCTTGTGTGAAGTAGGTTCAGAATAACATTTACTCTATCGTGATAACGTTTCGAATTTTGTTGAGATCTTCTTCAGAGCCTGGGATACATCAAATTACAAATAATTAATATAAAAACAATTGTAAATTCCAGGCCCTGAAGATGGTCTCAATAATCATCAAAACCCATTTATGTTTAATGGTCTAATTGACCAAATTACTTCTTTCAATTATTCTTTTTATGTAAGGCCTTGGTTGAGATGAAAAATTTATTGTTACAAGCGGAATTTGAATTTTGAGCTATTGTGACAAGTTGTTAGAGCAGCGGCGTACTGAGCCGATGGTCGTGGGTTCGAATCACGCTCGTGACAATAACTTTTTGATTTCAACAAAGACCTTACATAAAAAATTAATTGAAAAAAGATAGAAACGTTGGCACGATAAGGTAAATGTTTTTCTAAACCAACATCATACAAGACCGCATCGCACGATCTCCAAATAATCATTAATTAACGGTTACTAAATACTGCACATATGACCGTAAATTGCTTATAAACTAGTGGTTATGTTTTTTAAATAATTATCGATGCCTTCATTGATTTGTGATAAATAAAGCGAGATACAATATATGACCATTAGTGACTCACCTTGAAAAGCCTCGAAAATAAAACATCAATTAAATATACATAGAGGAAGAACATAAAGCTGTAATTAAACTATTTGTCAGACAATTTTAATGTCAGGCAGAGTTGAAATTTGAATACATACCTAATTAACTCTCTCATTATACAACATATCTCAATTTTTAAAGCCCCTCACCACTACCATAACGACAAGGCACAAATTTAAGGTTCTTAACACATTAGCGACCAAAACGTTTTTACACGATTGTTTTACCACTTAGACACTGTGAAGAAATTCAGGCCGTGTTGCGTCGGTTAACCATTTTCAAACGAAAACAATTAAACAGTTTCAAGTCAATTTTAAATAAATAAAAAATACACTTCCTTCCTCCAGAGAGTTCTTCTCATAAGATGGCGTGAACCGACAACAACGGCGAACATAAAACAATTCGAAGATTATTTCAGAAGTGTTTTCCTTGTTCGTGAACCTCATGGCACTTTATATTTTGTAAAAAAGTGCTTCGTTTCTGTGTATAACTTGATAACATACGAATACACAAAATTGGAAAACGTACGCACTTCTAATTTTCTTATACTAAGACATATTATTCATCACATATAAAAATTGATTATTATCTTTGCTGTTTTTCTGTTGGTATTAAAGAGTAGATGCTAAGAAGCTTTCTTTCTTTCTTTTTTTTCTTTTTTGGAGAGGTAAAACAACAAAATTAGGAAAACCGAAATCATTAAACCCTGATAATAGGGCTGTTGTGCAACTTCTTCTGCGGAACGACATCCTTTATCACACAATTCCAAACCGTTTTTTCCCAGTTGTCATTAAGTAATTAGTTACTTAACTGTTATCTTAAATATAATCTTGTGATACAACGGTTGGATTTCCACTGGGAAAAATAAGTTTTAGAATAGTTAGTTTTAGAGGAAATGGATCTATAAATTAACTTTAAATTATACAGGATGGACAGCTTTATCTCAATCTATTCAAAAATTACGATTTTTAGTGTTTATTTAAGAAAAACACGTTTCTTTACATAAAAACTGAATTTACTTCATTATCACGTAACTTTGTCCAACTTTTAGATTAATTCACATTTCTTTTAAAAATTGCCAGTCTACTTACAAAATAACTACAAAACATTTTAAAAAAGTCGAAATGGAGATAAAACCATCGGGTTTACGCCATTATACTCCTCCTTAGATCACAAAAATAATTTAACACGAACAGCTGACCACCCTGTATAAAAGTTAGAAGACTCACCGGTCCTGATGTCCTTAAGATCCCTATTTTTAAGGATCCAGTCTCTGAAGTTGTCGAGGGCATGGGTCCGTGTCTTTTCATCCTCTCTCAGTTCCTTTCTGGCAACACACATCACCTCTTCGCTCAACTCGTTTGATCCCTTGTCGTTGTTCTTGTTTTTGTTTGTGCTATTGTTTGTACTGTTGCTTCCTAGGCCTTCCCATGGCCGCACCACCATCACCCTCGTTGCAGCCATCGTTTCTGAAACTGAGAATAAAAGAGGTTTTTTTTAAAAATTATCTGTATGTGTTTTCAACTATCATATCATAAAAGATCTGAATTTAAATTAAAAACAAAACAAAATCGAAACTACGTTAAGCGATTTCGTCCTGAAAAAAATTTGAATATGTTTAATTATAGATTTGTTTTCAAAACTCACTAGTAAAAATAAAAATTCAAATATAAAAAGTCTTAAAAACTTTGAAAATTTGAATTATTGATGGGTGTATTGTGTCTGATTAACATCAGCAAAGGTTTGCTAAGCATAATTTTTAAAATAATTACATCGCAGTTGATAATAAATATCAAAAAATAAATTATTAACAGAGACATAAAAATGTATTCATTGTTTTCAATTAATTAAGGTTTTGGTTGAGATAAAAGAGTCAGTGACACAAGCGGGATTCGAACCCAAGACCTTTATGAATTCGAATCGCCCTTGTGACACTGACTTTCTTATCTCAACCAAAACCTTAATTAGTTGAAAAGAATTTATTTGGTCAAGCGGACCACGAAACCTAATAAAATGTATTCATTGTATTACATGTCTACACAATGTTCAAGCTGTATTGTGATCAATTTTCAGAATGAAGTGAGGCCATCGTAAAAAACTGTAACACTTTTTGTCGCAGATGGCTGGATGATCTTATTAATATCGCTAATATTAATTTAAACAAAATTGATAAGGCCATTTTGAACGAAAAGAAAAACACTCAGTTCCTTCGTCAAGCCTTCGAAGAAATCCCTATCGTCAGTACTTTGAAACCATTGTTAATAATTTACAAGTTTAACAAATTTAAATTTTAACTATTTATAATATCGATTTCAGCATGGACCTTATCTATGAAAAAGATAGTAATTATGCAAATTGATTTGCTAGGAAAAGTTAAAGTTTTGTTTACATTTTTTTTTCTTTCCAAAAGGTAGGTTGGGGATGAGGCCAGGAAGACAGAAACAGCATTTATTTTCTTGTCGAGCTTTCGGCAGAATATATCATCTGTTCATATAGTATAACAATTTTTTTCGAGTTAGTCATTAAGGAAAATTTAAAAATTGTATATTTGAAAATTTACTTATGTTCATTTGTTAGTACAGAGTCCTGATGAAGGCGATATATTCTGCCGAAAGCTTGACAAGAAAATAAATGTTGTTTCTGTCTTCCTGGCCTCATCCCCAATCTACCTTTTGGAAAGAAAAAAAATGTATTTAAACTGAGAAGGCTGATCAATCACCAAAGAAAATATTTAAGTTTTATGGAAAATTTATATAATGCAAGAAGTGCAGCCAAAATCCATGTTATATACTTTGCGGACATAATTGTACGAATAATATAAATAGGAGATATTTTATGGCTACAATATTTGAGACAAGGATTATTCGGAGATCGTGAGATGCGGTCTGGTTTGTCGTAGGTTTTAGAAAAGGATTTTCTTTATCGTGCCAAGTTTCGATCTTTATTGAGATCATCTTCAGAGCTCAGAGTGTTTGTTTTCTGCGTAATTGTGTCATTCTTGTGTGTCTTGTTGACAGTTCACTCTCTCTGCAAATCATTAACTAACAGTCACTAAACACCACACATTTGAGATTAGGGGTGAATTATTGCAACTTAAATCTTCAGTAGGTGGACCTCAGGATCGACAGAAGCGTGTACTGTGCAATATGGAAGCCATTGAAAACACTTGATTCTCGGCGACAAATGAAATGGCCACGGAGAGCTTTAGTGAAGATATACCTCATTTTCCTTATTAAATCCATTAGATTTCGTGGTCCGATTAACCAAATAACCTCTATCAATTAATTAATCAGTGTCTTATTTTTTATTCCATATTTGTGCTTTTTTTTTTTTTTTTTGCCTTATGATCTTGCATATTAGCCATAGTACGAATTTCTTGTGTGTTCAAATTGGGGGTTATCGGGAAAAAAGGGCCAGATGCGATGGTGGGTATCGAACCCACGACCGCGGCGTGAGAGTCTCTCATGCTAACCACTCGGCTACCGCGGTCCTCTAGATAGATGTAGATACACCAAATAAAGGATCGAAGAAAAAAAAACTTTCTTCTTATGTAAATCTATTACACAAAAATATAACAAGATGAACGAAAGAATGCCGTCCAAATTTTTCTTCTCTTTTGCACGATAAGACAGTTTAGAGTTATGGTCTTGTAGGGAGGACTTTCTTCTTTTGTAAATATTTTGAATTATTCATAGGATGAAAATTTCGAGTGCTCTTGCGAGGACTGCCGTAGGTTAAAACGACAAAAACTACGCTACATCATCTCGTACCGCACGACGCGATCCTTGCCGAATTCTATTTTATGCAAGGTGTCCATAATGATTTACATATGTAAATTTACATTTTTTCTTAAAATAGAAAGGTTTATGTTCATAATCGTTTATTTGGATTGCAATCGTGCGGTACCATAAATACCATAACTATTCTATATAATATCACTATATAATTCAATTCGCTTGGTAAGAAAGGAGCGTATCATATATGAAAATCACTTCCTTGTCAAAAATTTCATTTTTTTCATTAAATTTTAATGGCCATAATAAATTTATAAAAATAGGGGCGTCGGTGGCCGCAACGGCGAATTATAAGTAGGCAGTGAACTGATCGTTCCATGCTTCCCATGGGCGAAATCTTCCTTCCATTCATGCTTCTTTCACAAGAAAACACACCTAGTGAAATACAGAAAGAAAATAAGTTGGGAGTAGGCAAGATATAAGTTACAATATCTTTTTATAAGTTACAAGGTGTTTTTTTAAGCACTGAAACCCATGGGATTAATATAACCTCTGCTGTTGCGAACCCCATTAAAAAATATTCTTGTACATTAAAAATTTACTTCAAAAAACTAAGATCCATGCAAAAAACTATTCATCTTAAAGCAGATTAAAGATAATATTGTTGTTTTCATGTTTTAGAAGAAATTCAATAAATAAATAGTAAATATTTTGAGTTAATTCCTGAAAATAATTTGAAACAAGCAAATGAACATACACACTGAAAAACGAACGAACACAAAACACACATAAATACTTAAAGTTATACATGTGTGATATGAAGCTATATGGAAAGATAAAGACAAGTAGAAACAGAAAAGAATAAAAAAACGGCACTACACAAAAATACGAAGACAACACAAATAGACAGATACATACATCGATTATGCACATTATATTAATTAACGGGCATTGTATACTATCACTATTTTAAATGTATGTAAAAATAGCCATCAAAGAATAACTCAAATTTAAAAATCATAATTTGAATTTTCTAACTCGTTTTAACCTTAGAAACCTTTATAACGTGCGATATGATCCCTTTTCCCTTTTACTGCTACAAATACAAGAAAAGATAACTAAAAAAGTACTTTATACTGAGCAAATAGAACATTTCCAGCGAATGTAACAAGGAGATAGACAAAGTAGAATGGATGGTGTGGTTTTTAATTACTAATTAAACAGTGTAAATCAATGACCATTTCCGTCGTAAATTTGGACAAATTGGCTTATCATACAAGATGGACTAATGGAAAAGAAAGCAGATTTTTTAAGCTACAGGCTATTTGCTATGCACGAGACGTCGGATCTCAAGTGGTACGGAATTGTGCAACTAAAGAAGAATGTTTTCCCAAATTTCTCCTTACACTTCCATTCTATTAATAATTTTTTAAACTATCATTTCGAGACCTATTGAATTTATATTTACAGCTAGTAATCCCCGGTCCCTAAATCTAGGATAATCAGCTTACCTGATTTATACTATTTTAGTTGTGGCTGAAAATCAGTTGATATCGTGAATTGTATTTTGTTGAATTGAAATAAGTTAACTATCAATACTGAACTTGCCTTTCCTAAAATTCATTATTGTTCATCATGAATGATGCTCTATATATGCCATACACCTATAATTTTCAGGATTGTTTCTATTTTCTTTGTTATAAAGTAGGGTTTGTATATCATATCTACGGGGGATAACCTACGAGGGGGCGTCGGTGGCCGCAAAGGTTCATGCGTTGACACGGCGCTCATCACTGTAAGGTAAAGGTCCAGGGTTCGAATCCAGAAGCCCTGCATTCAAACCCGACATACAAACAAATATTTGTTTTTGTTTTTTTTTTCAAAAACACCGACCCACCAACATCATGGGGGTTGATATGACCTCTGTTGTTGCGAATCCTCGTTTAAAAAAAAATCCTACATGCCAAGAAATTGGGAGGTACCCTACGAATACCATTTGGAAATAATCAGGCTAATATATGGGTAAAGATGTGTGCGTGCATGCACACTGCAATTTTGTAAATTATGTGTAAGAACGTGTGTATAAATGTACATACCTTACATATTTGTTTGATTATTAATTTTTTAATTTATTAATGTATTTATCTTATTTGTTATTTATTTCTTCATTTATTTACTTATTCATTTAATTCGATTATACTTAAATTGATTATCCTATTTATTATGCCAATTTACTGTTATATTTTATTATTTTTATGTTTTTATTATATTTGCACATATCATTTACTCCTGTAAAGCTACTCAAGCTAAAGCTACTTAAATATGTACCTAATTTCATTTTGCTGATATCCTATTCTTGTGGGGTTTTTTTTGTAATTTTCCACAAGGAAAATATTGTTAAAATTTCTATATTTACACTAGGGGTCAAATAGATCAATTATTGTAAGGGGATGTAGGAATGTGATCTATGTAAATTTATTACGAATAAATCTTTTTAAAAAAAGAAAAAAAAATGATACAATTCAACAGGCTCTGGTGTAAACTACATAATCTTGGCGTTAGTAGCAAAATATCCGGTTGATCAAGTCCTTGTACTATTCAGCGTATTTCGAACTGAAAGTAAGTACCAAAATAAATGACGAGGATGTACCTACAACCAAGGGCGTGTTGCAAGGCGAAACATCGACTCCCCTACTGTTTTATGCATTTCTTTCTGATTTTTTCTCTTTCTCTCTTCTTTT